GAGAAAGAAATGAAGAAAAAGTATCCTTATTTATTTGAATGACCATGTATTTGTAAAGTAGTGATCTAGGAAAATTATAAGACTTACTTTCTATGAATTATGTATTATTTGTATATTTGATGTTGAAGCTGTTCCGTTCTAGAAATATATTGCTTATGAGGCCACAGTTGGTGTTGTTTCGTATTATGTTACGTCATTGGATTATGTATATGCAGTTAGAATGTATTTCTGGGACTCTCTGACAGGTCGATAGGCCAAATTACAAAGGAAACTTTGGCGAAATTTAGGGAGTTAGTCTGTGGTATAAAACAAACTAAGTTACATAAGATGCTAATGACGGGTTTTTACCCTCATTCGAGGACGAATGATCCTAAGCGGGGGAGAATGTAACACCCCAGAAAATTTTGAAGTACTTAAGTGTAAAGCCCCGTAAAATTTTGCAAAAGAAAGTAATGTTTCGTGGTGCCGAATTGGTTTTACGTGTTGAGTATTATAGAAATTCTTCGTGGCTCGGACTTTTTGGGTCGAACAATTCACCGAAAAGTAAAGGAAAATTTTTGGCGGAAAAGTGCATTTCTGCGGTCCATTATGCGACCGCAGAATCACTCTGCGGACCGCATAATGGCCGCAGAGTGAGGCAGTTAATGGGGTCAGTTGAAAGCAATTATGCGGTCGACTATGCGACTGCATAACTGTTATGCGGTGCACTATGCGACCGTAGAATAGTTATGCGGACCGCATAGTGACCGCAGACTCAGGCAGATTGGTCATTTTGGACACCAATTATGCGACCGATATGTGGTCCGCATAACCGCATATGAGATTGCAGAATTATGCGGTGCACTATGCGACCGTAGAATAGTTATGCGGACCGCATAGTGACCGCAGACTCAGGCAGATTGGTCATTTTGGACACCAATTATGCGACCGATATGTGGTCCGCATAACCGCATATGAGATTGCAGAACCTGTTCCGGAGCTAAATTTTTGGGTTTTTAAAACCCGACCCTACTTTGTTAAATACACGTTTTGGGCCATTTTTGAGATNAGGTCGTGATCGGACTTCGTACTAAATTTACGGTGGTATTTATATTAACAATAATTGTGGTTGATTCTCTAATGAGATAGCCTAGCCGATCGGGTCATGATCGGACTCCGTACTAAATTTACGGCGGTATTGGTATTGATGGTAATTGTGGTTGATTCTCTAATGAGATAGCCTAGCCGATCGGGTCGTGATCGGACTCCGTGCTAAAAGTACGGTGGCATTGGTATTATGAACACTGGTATTGCGGACAATGGTATATCGATACTAAAAATCTCCTAATGTGAGATATGGAAATTAATTTGAAAACTGTCTTGATCCTAAATTGAGGTTTGATGTTGATTAAGGCTTTCATTGATATTATGATAATCTTGTTTGTATCAATTGTCATTCTATTGAGAGGGTGTTTAGTTATACATACTAGTACTATTCGACGGTACTAACGTCCCTTTTGTCGGGGGCGCTGCATCTTTCAATGGATGCAGGTGGTTCCACAGCAGGAGATATTGATCAGTGATAGCAGTGTACCTTCTTCCCAACTGACTTGGTGAGCCCCACTTCTTTTCGGGGTCATGAATCTTTTGTACTTGTGTATTCTGTTTGAGGTATAGTGGGGGCCTTATTGCCGGCATTATAATTGTACTCTTATTTATCTATAGAGGCTCCGTAGACATAGTGTGGGTTGTATATTGGTGTTGGGAAAAGACAAATTATGCTATGTTGTGATTGTATTACTTGTCCATTTGAGACTTTAAAAATGGTAAAACTATTGGTAAGAAATTGGTAATTGCAGACATGATCACTTTATTGTTTAATTAAGGAAAACATATATTCTCTTTATTCATGAATGAGTTTGGGTAGAAGGAATCTAACAGGCTTGCTCGGTCGGGTTCACTCGATTGAGCGGCGGTCGCGCTCCTCGTTTTTGGGGCGTGACAGTTATGTATATGCATTTTCGGCGTCTTGTGGTTGATATACATGTATTTAGTGGTAGGAGCATCTTGGCTCGATGGGTATTCTCTTATTGATTGTTATGTGCGGATCATGTGGAACGTCGCCATGGGTATGATATTTGGATCAGGTTGCACGCCGCAACAGTGAGTAAATTTGGTTCTATTGGGCTTTGGACAGTATTCCGGGATCTTGGATAGGTTCATTTTATTGGTCGAAACTTGTGCATGAAGTTTGGTCGTGATTCGGTATGTCTAAGTGTGATTCTATGCGTTCGACAAAGTTTGAAGGCTTGGAAGTTAAAAGAAGGATCTTGATCGTCGATTCGAGGTTTAGATGTTATTCGTGGTGTTTAGAGCCTTTGGATAAGTTGGATAAGGTATTGGAACTGGTTGGTATGATTAGACGGGTCTCAGAGGCCTCGGATATGTTTCGGGCACGTGGACCTAGGGGTTGACTTTTATGATTTTCGTGTAGAGTTGGAAATTATTTCTAATATTTAAATTACAAGCCGGAGTATGTTTTGATTGATTTGCATATTGTTTGACTAATTTCAGATGAGTTGACATTGGTTTAAGGTGGTAGAGAGGCATTGGAACTGGTTACCGGATTTCAGTGCCACGTAAGTCTCATGTCTATAACCTTGTGAGTAAGAATTCACCCCCGTAGGTGTTACACTTGTTATGTGCTACATGTAGTGGGAGCTACGCATGCATGAGGTGACGAGTGTTTGTGCTTATGCTAGAATTTCTTATTAGGTCCGGATAGACTTAGACTCACTCCATGCTTTAATTGTATTATTCGAGTTATCCTTGCATGCTTATATGCTTTAATTATCATTGTAGACAATAAATTTGTGCCAGAAAAATAATCGAGACTGAAAAATATTGTAACAACGTAGTATTTTATTTCAAATATTTGAGTGTACAATCTCTATGAATCCTTTGATTCTTCTTTCCAATAGTAAATAAATTCAAGGGCCTTTGAGCTTGATCTTGAATCTATATTTGTTTCCACGAACGATGATCTTGAATTCAACTGGCATGAACTTTGATTTGAACTCGTACTTCTTGAATCTTGACTTGTTCTTCGTTCTTGAGTTTGAAGTTCTTCGTTCTTGAGCTTGAACTTAATTTCTTGAATTTGAACTTGATTGCTTGAAGCTTGAAACTTGTAGAGAAATTTGCGGCGTTTGATCCACAAACTCTTTCTTGCTTCTTGTTATAACTATATGGTGTCTTTTCTGGGTTATGAATACCCCTATTTATAGTTGTGGGAGGAAAGAGTTATGATAAAAACAAACTCTTTCTGACCAATCAAATTGAAGTGTGACATGACCGCATTTGATTGGCCAGAACATGTCCCACCTATTTTAGGTCTCTTTCTCTTTAAATTTACAAAAATAGAATGGGATGCTTGGCCCAACAAAATCTTGACAATGAAGCAAGAAAATAACTTTTTCTTCTAGAATATTATCCTATAAGATTTTCCGTTCTTCTGTTTTTTTTTTTCAAACAAAACACACACACACACTATGATGGTTCTGCACTTTTTATTTTGGCTTGATTTCTTTTTTCTAAAATAAGTTTATTCCTTAACTAATTTCAAGTTAGATAAAATTATGATCACCATTTATATTTTTATACATAACATTATTACGCATAAGAACTTAAATCGTTACTACTTTGAATATAAGCACACTTGTTTGGGGTTAACGGTGTAGAAAATTAACCATACCATAAATGCTATTTGCTTTTTAATTGCACCATGCAATTTAAAGTCGAAAATAAATTTTCACTAATAAGCTTTCCTTTTCGATGAAAGGACTTATAATATTATCAAGCATGTAATGCTTTCTTTTGAAAATTCCTTGCTAGAATACTCTCTTACTACTCATGAGCTGCCTCTCTCAAAATATGTGCTATAATCTTGAACTTCGTTAGTTTTATTTAATTAGTTGAAAAGAAAATCTCTCAAAATACGACTTACATCGTACATTGAATTTTTTTTTTTTTTTTTTTTTTTTTTTTTTTTTTTTTTTGGTCATAGATATTTGATAGTTTATACTACAGGAGCACTATACGTTAATTATTTGTTAATTTTTAATTTAATATTGATGATTTATACTGTATTTTCTGTTGAGGTTTTGATATGGAACTTTGACAGAAATATTTCAAGATTTTATCAAAAATTTCAGTTTTGGAAATATATTTTGGGTAGTGTAGCTAGATGATTAGAGTGGATGAGTATGTGCGCTGAAATTTTCATAATCTTAATTGCAATAGTACCATTAGGTTTATCTTTGGGAGGATGGCAAGGATGGACTTGATAACAAGTAAAGTTTTATTTAACGAGATAACATATTTGTATAACCTCCCTCCTTCTCCTTCCTCCTCAATAAATACTTTTCGAATCTCTAAAACTAACCACTTCAAAATACATTCTAAGCGAGTGATTAAGATGTTTTTCACTTTAAGTAAGTGGTCACGTGCTATGTACATATAGTGAATCTAATTGTTTAATATTTGTATTGTTATATTATATTTTATCTCACACAAAATAATACATATAATTTTTACTAAATATTTTATGAGGATATTATATATGAAGAAAAGAAAAAACTAATCAAACATTGTATAATAAGTTATGTTAAATTTTATCCGAAATTATATTTTTTTAAAATATCAACCAAACAATGTATAATATATCTCTATGTTGGTTTTTATGCAGAAATTAACTCTATGCAAGCACCAACCAAACGGGTCCTTAGGGATATATTCACCAATTCATATTTCAAACATCCGGGAAAAAGCCAGTTGTTTCCTTCGTGTCACATTCAAACTCATAAATCCTTTAAAGCGGTTAAAATAGTCGGCTTCCTCATCTTACCGTTAATCTACTTCTAATCCAACGGCTCAAAGTCACGATCCTTGTGCTCTCTTCTCATTGGTCCATTTAAAAATCCCTCAGTACTATATAATCACCAACACTGAACAACCCCTCTCCCAATTCTCCATCTCACTTCCCATTCAAAATCTCGTCTCTCTGTAGCACAAATCCAATTAATTCTTGCGTTTTACAGTAACAACAATCAAATGGCAGGTAGAGGAAAAACCCTAGGTTCTGGAGCAGCAAAGAAGGCTACATCCCGTAGTAGCAAAGCCGGTCTTCAATTTCCCGTTGGTCGTATCGCCCGTTTTCTCAAAGCTGGCAAGTATGCTGAGCGTGTTGGTGCTGGTGCCCCTGTTTACCTTGCTGCCGTCCTTGAATACCTTGCTGCTGAGGTGAATTTTTGCCTTTGCCTCTTTAATTCTTTCCTTTTTTGATATCTCAATTTCTAGGGTTTATAATTTGGAAAATGATTATGCGTTTATACTAAATCGTGCTAATTATTATGGTTAACTGATTAATTGTAGTGAAAATGGATACTAATTAACAATAATTGAGCTAATTTCTTTAGTGTTTGGACTGGAAAGTAGTTTGTGAAATATATTTACATTTTCAGGTAACTTATAAAGTAATTATAGAAAAATCGTTAATTATTAACGTGATAAAATCTTAACTAAACTACCTTACATGGGTTAAAGTCAAATGATACTGTTTATAGAATTTATTTTATGTTGTATAAGTTAAACAATAAATATGTACTGATTAGAGTTTCTAGGTTGTTTGTTTTGATTTAGGGTTTATGATTTTCTATGTGAATTTTGGTGGTTACAGGTGCTTGAATTGGCTGGGAATGCTGCGAGGGACAACAAGAAAACTAGGATAGTACCAAGGCATATACAGTTGGCAGTGAGAAATGATGAGGAATTGAGCAAGTTGCTTGGTGATGTTACTATTGCCAATGGTGGTGTTATGCCCAATATTCACAACCTTTTGCTGCCTAAGAAAGCTGGTGGCTCCTCAAAGCCCTCAGCTGATGAGGATTAGATTGGAAGGACAATAGGGAATTTCAAGTATTAAGCCTTTAATTTGGTTTTTGAATAGCTGGTCCACAGAAATTATTTGGTTTCTCCAGTGTGAAATCAATTGTGTTTTGTTAGTTCTTTTAGTTTCTTTTATAGTGTTAGGGTTTATGTTAGTCTGTGTATACAAATGAAATGATGAATGAAAGGCCCATCTTATATTTTTGAATTGCATCTTTGGGTTGCTAGTTATAGTAGTAACATCTACATTTATGAATATCTAATCAGTGAATACAGTTTCATACTAAATGTTTACCGTCTTGATCTTCTTTCCCTTTTTAGAATGTGTTGTGGTTGTGAAATTTATGGGTTTCATGGTGTATTGATTTGTTTTCTATAGCTGTGTGTAAGTATCTATGTAGTGAACTATATATGTCCATGCAATTATGAGACAATTTGTGGGCATGCTGTTTCTAACCGTCCAATTAATTAGGGCATTTGCTTTTACCCTCATCATCTCTTTCCTGGGTTTCTCATTAGTTTACTGAATGTGTGTGCTTGTTCATGTGCCTATATATAGAATTATCATTTGAGGGATAAATGTTGAGAGATGTTAGAAATCAAAATGTTTGAACTACTAAGTGGCTTGCTAAACTCAAGGTCCAGTAGTTACCTTTATTACAACATACTCCATATGTTGTAGAGCTATGGGTTGTGATGTCATTCATTCCTCCTGAAGGATTTGTTGTCATTGATATATTTCTCCTTTAGTCATGCATAAATGCATTCAATCATTTCTCTAGTTGGTAATAGGGTTTAAAAAATGTCTTTGTTTCTTGCATTTAATCTCTCTTTGAAATAACGGACAGCAATTTCTGATGTGCGAGCAATGATGATTGGTCAAGAACAACCATGCAAAAGCATGACTGTATGTTGTGTATTGTTTGGGTAATCTAATTTTTGCATGGTTGTTAATAAGTAATACAATCATGTGTATGTGGCTTACTCTTAAGGAAGTGTGTTTATTTCATTAAGGGTATTGTTTTCTCTCTGTTAAGTTATCTTTGTTTGTTACTGTTTTCTGGTTCTATGTGATCTTGCATTGAGGTTGAGCTATAATTTATACTAGTATTTTGGCTTGTGAGAGCGTCATAGTTTGTAGCATCGGTCTTGCCATATACTTAGGTTAGTAGATGCCTGTGCATGGTTTATTCATCCAGACCAGTTACAAATTTGAATAACTGTTAGGTCAGATTAGATCACTGATATTTTTTATGGCGTCATATTAAATAATGCTTGTATTTAAGGTTCTTTTTGCTTCTTAATTCTCTAGTGCAGTTGGTTGTGCTCAATCTTGTATAGAGTTAATGAGTTCGCTTTCAGTAATGTAGCATGCTATGAGATTGTCAGCTTTGACATGTATGAGGAAAGGTGATTTGGTTTTCTTTGTAGATGAGTTGTCTCTAGTTTTTGCTGAAGGTTCCTGATCCTTGTGTGATCAGATTGAGTTTTGCATATTAGCTTGTGCTGGCTGAATAGCTGTTTTCTGACGTCAGTTCGCCACATTTTATGCTATACCCTGTTGTTTAACATTAGGTTTACATAATTAGCTTCCTTTTTAGCTCTTGAGCGTCCAGACCATTTCCCTCGCCCCATGTTTTGGGCTGGCAAACAGGGTTGACATATAGAGGAAGCTTGGTGATACCGTGTTCAACAAGTCTTATTAGGTGTCTTCTTTTAGTTTGAATTGATTGGTTTGTTGAATTTATAGGTAGTGCAAATGTGTTCCTTCATCTGTTGCTCATAATGGAAGACATTCGAGTACGCTGGTTATCATGGTATTGTTTCATGATCATCTGGCTTAAGTACTGTCATGGGCTGCTTTCCATCATCGACCCATGACCCCTTGGACGCGTCCCGTGGCGTCCCGGCAAGCCTCCCAACGCCTAGCGCCACGGTCGGCCCCGTGGTCTCGGCAGCGTCAAGTGACAAGCGAGCATGCGCCTCTGTCGCCCCACCGATATTCAATGCCAGCGCCCAGCGGCTGGCCAATTCCATCAGTGCCGCGCGCACCGACAATGCCGCGCACACAAATCATCATGTTGCCATCAGCGCCGCACACCCAGACAGTGCCCCGCGCGCAGACCCAATGCCAAGCACCAGCGCCCAGCCGCTGGCAGATCCAAATAGTGCCACGCGTGCCCACAGCAATGCGCGCGCAGACCCTAATGCTCAAGATAAAGTTGCTGCCATCGGACTTGCTTTCATAGAAGACTAAGTCCTTTTCATTGTAATTATAGAGTAGTTTTACTTCATTCATTTTCAGTGTGCTTCTACAGCTTTCTTAGGTCAACTCATGTAACTTTGGTTTATTTTTTTAAGCATTATTAAGGGGGACCAAAGCATTCAAACAATTCTCTGTACTGGTGTCTCTCCCCCCCGACACCGCATTTCATCTTGTAAGAGCTTTCATCATCATCAATACAATCATCAGCTTTCATCATCAATTGCTCATTTTCCGCTGCTCAATTGCTCACGACATTGGTTTTCCCGTACGACACTGACAATCTAGTCTAGCGTACGGCGAGAGCCTCAGTTGGCGCATAGCAACCGCACTGACATCGGTTGCTTAGCCTTACGTCGCCCTTCCAAGGAACTTCAGGAAGGCGCCGCGTAACAGTACTTGTGAAGGATATCCTACTGTTTCATGAATCTCTCCTGCAAAGCTGAAAATTTAGGACAGAAAGCTGGAGCTGATATCATCAAAAAGTTTGATGTCATGATGTTAGAAGTCATATATATTTCATCACTAAAGTAAGATAGGAGTTGGATTGAACACAACTATGAAGATTGAGAAATTTCACTTAAGAGATGACTTGCACTACATTTACTGTGATAATCTCTGCCTGGTTACCTTCTAAGTTCTAATTTTACTTATTGATCATTAAGTGAACTTAAAGAAGCTTAGGCCTTACGTTTGAAGTCTCTCTTTATGATCTACTGTTTTAAACCTTTATACCTATGTGGCGCTCTAAAATCATCTACCGCAGAAAGTCTTGCTGTTCCCTTTGGTCCTGTTTTCTAGGATTTTCAGTTATATAACCTTTTTCTTTTTCCTTGTCCTTCAGGAAGAGATGCTTTCACGAGAAGATTTTTCGTTTGTAAGATATTTCTTCTTCTTTTAGATCTTGTGTATGATGTACTGTATCTGCTTATCTGATTTAGAAAGTTTACAATTTTCAGTAATAGTTGCATCTAGGAGTTTCTACCCCCTTTGGTTGTTTTATCATAAACTTCTCTGTGTTACTTGACATGGGAACGTCTATTTTTAATTACAGTGTTTTAAGGTATTACTATGTCTTTTTTGTTATCATTTTTAGTAATGATCTGAAAGTTTCCTTGCTATACTAGAAGATTATGGGAGTTTGTCGTACATAAATTTATAAGCTCATACGAACCACTTAAAAATACATCTCTCTGAGGAATTGGAGAAGAGTTCAGGGGAAATGAAAAAGAAATGCATGGCAACTTTAAATATTTAATCATCTTAAACGATGGAGGGTTCAATAAAAACTAGTTCTAACAAAATTCTTCATGGTGACAATAGAGAAACTGATTTAGTACTAAGTTAGCTGATTACTCAAATCTTTCCTCTAGTATTTCACGGATTGATAATCGGAGATTCTATGACTCAAGATTCATCTCAAACAGAGATAGCACTGTCCACACACCTTAAACTTTCGATCTCTTAAAGTATCATATCACAACATATGATGCTACTACCAACGTTAATTGGAGTTACCTTTCTGCTTCGTGTAAATTGGGAGAAAAATAGAAAACCTTTTAAACCTCAATGAATGCTTCCATTCAGTTTTCATCTTTTAGTTTTTGCATGGCTAACGATTTCGTGTTTGTTGCTTAATTAAAGAAACATTGTCATCAACAAAAGTTTTATTATTTGGAAATAATATCTGTACACTTGTGCTATCTGGAACAGGAAAGTATAACGTATCTTGAAGGTGCTCTTTAGGTTTATCTCTACACGGGAGTATGACCATTTTGAAGTTCAATAAATAACTACAATGCCTTAATTCTAAACAAGTTTAATAGTATATCCAATTTCTCTTTGAAAAGAGATGATAAAAGCAGCATGGTACATGTAGAATTTAGCATTTGTTTATGTTATTGTGCAAGGACTTATTTTCTCCTCAGTTGCAGCCTTTGGCACTTAGCATTTTCTAGGTTCGATAAAATTTGAAGTAAGTATTAGTTTCTGAGATTTGTAAAAGAATATCCCTTGGTCAGAGTGGGAAGATGAGCCTTGTATTTCTTCACTCTGTTGCTGGCACTGTATCTACTGAAAATATGCAGGCAGCAGTGCTGGTTTTATATTCTGGGATAAATCTCATATCTATCTGATTAATTCTCCCTCCAGTTCATGTTAAAAGAAAAGCAAAGGCTTAGAGATGGTACCAGGTAACTTGTATCTCTGTTGAGCTAGACTTGGTTGTTCCCCTGCAACTGCAATACTTTGAGGTGTGTTAGGTTCTGCTGAACTTTATCTCATTAGGTTGACTGTGAGTGTTCATTCATCCATTACTAAGACAACTTGGGTCATATGCAGCATCTAGGGAACACGTTCTAGTACCAACGACGGAAGTATGAGTTGTCTACTTTGTTTGTTCTACCTTTTAGTTTGAGTGATTAAGCATATATATCGAGCTGTATCACGAAGGAAAGCATATTGACTACTTTGTTTTCAAAGAGTACTGAAACTTTGAGTCATAAGAGTTTACAGTTCTTTGATTTGTTAGTTCCCTTTACATTAGGATTTGTAGCTCTGAATATTTATGTCTGTCCATGCTGACGTCTGCTTTTTGGAGATTGTGTTGTATCACTGGGGTTATTTCGTGTATTTATATATAGCAAGGTGACTATCTCGGTTGGGATTGAAACCTACATATCTATTGGCGCATGCCGATTGGCCCCTCTTTGCATAGTGAGGGAGCAACGGAATAAGAAACATGAAGTTACAATGGTAATGCTGAAGAGAGTGGTGGCTAAGGGAGGGAAAAAACCATGTCCTTTTTCCTTTTTAATCGTGTTATTTCTGGGGTACCTTGAGCAACTCTTTAGGGCATTGAGTGAAGTGCAATGGTGCGCAAGGTGTGGAGGCCAAGGTTAGCCTGGGTAGTTGAGCATGCTCAGCAACTATAAATATAGTGCGGACATTG